TTAAATGTTATCCTCTTCTTCGTGTTAGTCTCCTTTATTTGAATGAATGAATGAATGAATGAATGAATGAATGCCTGCATTTCACAACGACCAATACGATAGGTTTGATAAGATACATGAAAACCGCATGGATATGATTACAAGTTCAATTCATGTTCTCAATAAACGAGCAAAACTATTTTAAGAAATATCTACCCATTCAGGAGCCCATGACCATATTAAAAATTAGAAAGCCGCACATGCACATGTATTTTTTGTACTACTCTAAATCATGTTCTCATATTTAACGGCGATCATTAACATGTTTCTATTGACACTTAAAGGTGTTACTGAACAAGGCAATCGTTGTCTTTTCGTCAGTTGTCTTTAGTTGGTGAATCTTGCATGAAGTTTGAACATTCGTTCAATGGACAACCTATGTCCCAATGCGAAGAAATCGTGAAGTTTTTTATCTTCCAAACCAATTCCCACCCATGGCCCGGCAATGAGGACATGTTTTCCGTTAAGCTGTAAAGGCGCGATTCCAACTCTTTTTGCCAATATTCCTATATAGGCGTCTTCTAAAGGAAAAGGTGTCAGGCCTTCATTCGAGGACACCTTAAGTAATTCGAGAAGAGTGCTTTTAGATAAAATATAAAAGGGCCCGTTACAGTATGGAGGGAACAAAGTGTCGTTCAGAAATTGTTCACTAACGAACCATTTATGCTTTGGGTTTCTAATAACTTTTAATTCAACCCCGTCTTGCACAGCGCCAGCATATAGCTTCTCGGGTAAAGAAGAGATTTTCTGCCACCAAATCATCTTAGGAACGTGCAAATATACGTCATCGTCCACTTTGACGATAAACTGAACCTCCATGACAGAAGCAAGCCACAAAGAGCTCATAGTCTTGAAGGCAAGTAGTGAATAGGATTCTGTGTAGTTCAGCCTTAAGATGTCGCCGTAAACGGCGCTTTCATTCCGCACGGCGGATTCAACGTCCACTTTTGTGTCATGCCCGCAAACAAACCAGTAGTGGATAACCAAGTTACTAGATGAATTTGAAGGGTTTTTCATCAGTGTTCGTATGTTAGATCGTCCTCGCGCAACAGAGTTGCTTACCAAGAGAGACAACCATGTTTGACGTATAGATAGTCTTTTGCTTGTGTAAAACGGCGTACTTGTAATGAAAATAATTAACTGCTCATTCGCTTGGATGAGTTGGATTTGATTTCTTGTTGACAGATGGTTTTCTTTCGTTGAACGTTCCTGAAACAGCTTTGTAAAATATGAGGATGTGCCGGGAACGAATTCGCTAAACGTATAGAGGAAGACCGCGGTAACAAACAAAGAAAATATCCGAACAAGTTTGATTATCCTGAAGCGCATCATGATGTTTACGTTAGCTCGACTAGACAATGACTAGATGTTTCAGGGGCAATAAGTTCTTAAGGTTGAGCCGATAACGCCTCGTCGACTGACATTGACAAATGGTCATTAAATTAGATACGTTAACATCGGATTTGTCACATTAACAATTATTCCACGAGTGCGCGTTGGATATGAGATGGTTAGGTAGCCATAGAGGCGCTTTGAGCGCCGAGTTGGCTATAATCATCTCATATCCAACAAGCGCGAGTGGAATAATTGTTTTATTAAAAACGCCCACAAAATATCGGTTGTTTTTACAAATAAAGTCAGGAAGTCCTATTTTTATTCACCTTAAAAACTTGCAGCCAAAAGGCCTCAGTCGACAAACGTTGTCAAATATGCATTGGTCTTAAGACAGTCTCTTTAGGCTTTGCGGCCTCTTTTTTCACTTGTTTACGTGTTATGGGCAAAGTTCGGGATCTTCCTTTTTATCTTTTACCTGGCAAAAAAACTCAAGACTCCTCAAGTCCACATTCCAAAATTAAAACTGTAACAGTTTGTAGAATATAAAGATGTGCCGGGAAAAAATGAGGTAAACGTATAAAGGACGGCCGGGGTAACGAACAAAGACAAATCCGGACAAGTTTGATTAACCTGAAGATTTACGTTAGCGCGACAAGATATTTCTATGTTTTTTTACGACCCTCCGGAAAAGTCACTATGTGTTTACGTGTTTACAACAATGGTTGAATTACAAGTGCATTATAGCAGAACAAACTGGTTGTTTCTGGATTTTCACCCCCTATGTTTAAAGGGAAAGTAGGACGAACATTGTTTGCAGTTTGGGGTTTACGTTTAAAATTGTTCCCGTTCCAACTCTTCTTGCCAATATTCCAATATTGGCGTCTTCTAAGGGAAAATGTGTCGGGCCTTCATTTGAGGACACCTTAAGTAATCCGAGGAAAGCGCTTTTAGATGAAATATAAAAGGGCCCATTACAGTATGAAGGGAGCCAAGAGTCGTTCAGAAATTGTTCACTAACGAACCATTTATGCTTTGGATCTCTAATAACTTTAAATTCAACCCCGTCTTGCACTTTGCCATCATATAGCTTCTCGGGTAAAGAAGACATTTTCAGCCACCAGATCATCTTAGGGATGTGCAAGTATATGAGACAGAAGCAAGCCACAAAGACCTCATAGTCTTGAAGGCAAATGCAAGTAGTGAATGGGATTCTGTGTACTTTATTAACCTTTAGGTGGGTTCACACTGGACTTTTTAAGTGTACTGTGAAGTGCATTTGAAGTGCACTTGAGACTAGCTTGTGTGAACGGGTCCTTTTTCACTTGATTGATCTGGACTAGTTGTACTTAGTTGCCACAGAAACTTCAAAACCTCAAGGTGTCGAGGTGCAAGCTAAGGTCAAAACCTTCCTTGAGACTGTACTTATCCAGTCAAGGTGTTGGATGTTTATTATCAGTGTCAATCATCTCGAGTCACAAATTCCACACTCGGAAGCGAGCAAGCGAGAATCGATTTTCAATGACGACTGCTGATCTCCACGAAATGTAGGTGGGTTTTTCTCAGTTCTGATTCATGAGCTAGTTCAGAAACTTCACGACTTCCTTTTTTTTACTGTATTTCCTTCTAAATTCTTCGTTTGTCGAGAACTGAACAGGGGCACCCAAGTCAGTTTTTTGAAAATATCTGTTCGGAAGACGATTTGAGATCTAGAATTTTCGGAACATTTGTTGTAAAGTTCTTGCTTGCCTGCTTCTCCCGGGATTTTTGAACATCTAAAAAACGGATTTTTACCCTAAAAAGGTCACCTAGAATTTTCGGGAGCCTTTTTTCTGGCTGAAAGTTTCGAAAAGGTAAGTATTGATCCCTATAATTTTCGGATCACTAGACTTTCAGCTAGGAAATCAACAGATGGAACATTTTTAGGGGATAAAAATATGCCTATATCTACCTTTTAAATACAAAAAAATACGTTCAACAATGCTATGTTTAAGTGGTTTCGATCTATATTCTCGTTGGGTGCCCTTGACTGAAAAAGGCACCTCAAAAATTGCTTTTTTTGTTTTAAGTGTCCGGATACTGGTACCGTCTGGATACTGGGCAACATACTGTACCGGTCTTGTTTTTCTAATAAAGCTCTAACATTTTATCCAACTGAAATAAATCGACCTTTTTGGCGTCTGTCTAGAAAATCTTGCACTTTTTGCTATTTCTGGCTCTGAGGCTCCATATACCACTAGTGAGTAGGTGACACTGGGTAAAACAATGGTCTTAAAAAAATAATTCACATCAAACTGACTACGTCCCTCCTTTCGCAAAAATCTTATAACATTGAGGCATTTATGGGCCTCAGCCAGCTTGTCCTTACCATGCTTATCATATCTACAGTCTTGCTGGAAATTGAGTCCAAGGACAGTGAGACCGGAACATTGTGGTATGTTCGAATTTATGTCATAAACATCTCAATGTCTCTTCTTCGAATTCCGGAAAACACGGTGCTTACACTTTCAGGGATTACATTTCATTAAATTGCTACTAGACCATTCTTAAAACCTATTAACAAGTTCAGCTGCTGGGTCATTGTTCTAATAGACACAGGAACAACGATTGTGCAGTCTTGATCGTCATCATCAATATCATGCCTCATCGCGGCAGTAGTCGCAAAAGGCCTCCACGCCGTCTGACCAACACTTTGTGTCTTGTGCAACCCGCTTTGGCTACTTCCCAGCTCTTCCACCCCGCTTTGTTTCGCCTTTTCTCGGTAGTCATCAGCGTATTTAAAACAGACAGTTTCCCCACCTATAGTAATCTCTAGGTCATTCAGAAAAATGCTAAATAAGGTCTGCGAGTTAGAGAAGCTGGACTGCTTCCACTTTTGCCAAAGAAGTCAGAGATCTTATCGGAGCTAGTGATCGAGTTTACACCGATATTAAGGACTCTAATGAAGTAGTGGTTAACATTGCCTGGGTGGAGTTGCATAGAAAGATCTGTTATTCTGGTCTTCGTGCCTCTTCCCTATTTCACATAGCACTTTTCAAAGTCAAGGTCATCACAACAGTTTCATCAGAGTGCATCATGCCAAAATTCCTGTACACATGCCTAGCATAGGGGACCATACGCGTATCAGCCTCTTCGTGACTGAACCGTACCCGTATGAACAGGTTCTCACTGTGTAGCTGTGTCTAGTCGCTAGCACTGGTCTTCGGCTATCACACCCACATGATCCGGTTGCCGAGTCTGCTTCTAAATGTTTCGGTTTTGCCCTGTGGCACGAGTAATATGGCGATTACAGCTTATGTGTTTTTGGGTTATTTCACTGAGCAGCTCGTTCCATGACTTCACTGTATAGACAGGGAGAAAGTTTTTATTTTGTAAACTGTATGAGGTAGACATAATTTTCAGTCTTTTTGACTTTTTTTATCAACATCTCGCGCTACACGTCATCTCCGCGACTGCTGCCGGTACTTGTTACCATTTCAAACTCTCCAAACGACTAAATTGGACAGCTCCAGAACAGATCTACAACGTCTGCAAGATTGACATTTCATCGCAACTGCTGGTTACGTTCTCTGGGTATTTCGTGGTGATTGTGATGCGTCACTCTAGCTGCTGGGAAAGTCCGGATTTGCTTGTCTTTCGCAGGAGTCCTTTAGGATAGTTAAGAGTCCAAAGAAGAGGTGGAGGACTCTTAAAGTTGTTTTCAGGGTGAAAACACATTTTTGTCAAGTGGAATTGGAGTGAGTAAAGGCTCATAAAGTCATTCCCTGGCTGCTTCCACTTGCTCTGGCGGGCAGTCAGTCATCACGTTCTTCTGTGTGGACAAGCTTAGCGAGTTGCAAATCTCTCTTGTTGGTGAACGTAGACAGTTCGGTCGTTGCATTGATATTTGATGAGATGTGCGGGGAATTCAACTTCAGCTCAACGCGGCTGATTCGGGAACATGGAAGCACAATATAAGGTTGTCCAGCAAGAAACTGTTTTCGATGGGGACTCTATTCAGCACACTTGCAATGTACACAGACGATTTATTTACTTACTATTTTCTAAAGAAATTTAATGTTAGCCACACAATTTTTCAATAGTCAATAAACAAAGTGCAAACTGCTGGTCTTATTGCATGCGTGACTGATAACAGGCGATGTTGATTCACATGGGGCGTCATTCGGTTATAATTTAAGCACTAGATTAAACAGAAGTCATGATTTTAACTCCAATATGTTTAAATTTACGTTTCAAACGCGATTTGTTTACGCTAAAAAAACATGAGCAACTTTTGTAGGCTTTCTCAAAATCCAGGATGGCGGCCGAAAGGAGATTATGAGGGGCCAATTTATATTTCGATTTACCGTTTTATCCTTGCTACCATGCATTTTTGTGTTAAGCTTAAACATTTCCGGTCTCAGCTGATGGACTAATTTATATTTCGATTTACAGAGTGAAAGCTACCGTTTTATCCTTGCTATCATGCATTTTTATGTTAAGATTAGACATGTTTCAGCTGTTCCCCTTCAGTGAGCATGAGCCATAAGCCCAAATTTTCGGGTCTCAACCGATGGACTAAATTCCGTATGTCATACCAAATGCCATTCCGGAAACACATTCCTCTTTTTGCTTTCGTTGAATTTCTCTTCATGTGTGGATTTGCAATTTCTTAGAAAATTTTCAAATGATACACAATACAACTATATACATCTTGACCAAGATCTCGCTGGTGATCATCCCTGATGGATCATTACCTTGCACTTGAACTGTGACGATATAGTACGAAGAAAATACAAACAAAGATCACAGCAAAATATACATATTTTCTTTTTTGAAAATATTAATCTTGATATCTTTTTTTTTCTTTTAATTTTTTTTTTTCGCGAATTTACGGAAATCAGGAGCCCATCATTTGATGGGCTCCCGCGGAAATTAATAATAAAAAATACACACCCTTTTATCTTAGTTGCATTCGGCTAGCCCAGTTCTTTTTAATATGACCCTCAATAAATACCAGTATACTTTAAGGAATATATGGGAACTTCTCTTCGAAACCTACAAATACAAGTACAGGTTAATGTCATTATAAAGACGCATAAACAAATGTAACAACTTTGCGATCTGAAAGAACCGATAAGTATCCAGTGGCGTGTGCAATACAGCTGCGAAATGCTCCCTTTTGAAGCCACTCTTGTAAGTCAACCTTTCGGATCATTATTTTCTCCTATCGAAAGCAACACTTTTCACGGCGAAAGGTACGATTCAGTCCTTTATTCAGTTATGAATGTTAAATAGGTAGTCTGGGGTAGTTCAATCGAGCACGTGCATATGGAGTGTGTGTGCGCGCGTACACGTGTGGGATTTCGCACGCACCAGCGAAACAGGAACATTATTCGCTTTAATTGTTTACAGTGTGTTTACTTTCAGCATTGCAGTAATCTGCTTGCAGAATTTAATCCGGGAATTTAATATGTCTACATTATTATTTTTGCTGATCAGGTCTTTATAGTTCGGCATATTCGTTTGCGGTCCTTTGCAGTCCTTTATGGTTTATGTTTGTACTTTATGAATTTTTGGGCCGTAGATCTTTTATAGATCCGATGTGCTGTAATTCTTGCATGGTTCTGTCCATGTATTTTAGGTTGGTTATTTTCTCTGCGAGACATCAACTTGACACTTGGACTTTTGCCCTCCAGAAGACACGTGGTATGGCGTGATTCTGTGGGAGTTGCGGATATTTTTCATCAGAGTTTTCTCTGGTTGGTGCGCCATACTGACGAACCCCAAAAAGGGCGAAACAGCTGTATATGGCTACAATCCCACTCTGTTTTGAGTTCTTTCGGTGTTTAATTTTCAGGCAATACGATCAGCGTTGCAGTATTTTGCTTGCAGAATTTAAAAGGGATGTTTACTTTGACATTTTAAAAACTAGCCTACGAGAAGGCTCACATGTGCGATTTCGCGGAAAAATTTAGGAGATAATTTTTGCAAGGAAACAATTTCTCTGTCTATTGTTTTGTTTTTGCTAGCCTGCGTAGCAGGAGGCGGCTTGAAGGGACTATGTCGCGGCAGTCCAGTTCATTTTGTTTAATTTTGCCCATTCCTCGGCCTCAATCGCTATGGAACTTTAAAGTAAGGAAAGAAATT